AGCCTCTCTCCCAAAATAGCATCTTCTTGGCCCAGCTATCCAAAGTCTTCAAGACCTAAACTGATTCAGCATAGCAGCCTCATTTTTATTTAGCCCTGCTCCACTTTGACATCTCTCAGAGGATTTGTAATATCATAATCATCCGACGTATTACTACCTTCATTTTGATAATTAAAACAATGTAAAATACTTTAAGCAATTTAAAACAATTATTATTAATTATTGAGATAGGCTTTCTCTCTCTTGGAGTCCATACCTTTGTATCCTACACATCCAGATTAAAGGCCTTGATTTATTTATTCCTTAATTTCAATAAATTTCTCTATACTAAAAGTCATTTGAAACACTATTTATTCCTCCCTTCTATGGAGATTAACCTCTCTCTCTCTCTCTCTCTATATATATATATATATATATATATATATATATATATATATATATATGGTGTGTGTGTGTGTGTATGTATACGTATGTATATGTTTATATCTCCTTTCTCTTTGTATGCATTGAACTAATACCATTTCCTATATTCAACTTCAATTAAATTCCCTTCTATTTACTATATAATCTATTTTTCAGGCCAGTATATGTGTCAAGTACTAGGCTAAGCAGTCCTAATATTACCGTGGAGCACACATTGAAAGAACCCAGTAGCTTAACATAGCACTGACAACTTACATTTCTATTTCTTCTCTATTTTTATTTGATTGTGAGAGGCATGCAGCAATGCTTTCTGTGTTTGAGCAGCCTGCCTCATTGCACAGCAGGGATCCTAGCATCAGCACAGAGCCCACCACCCAGTGTATTCTCTGGGTACGCTTGGGGGGGGGTGCAGCTGTGTCTTAGCTTATGCCACAAACCCCAGAATTTTGTGCACTCAATTAGCATGAATTTTCTCCTAGTCCCAAACACCAAGTGTCTTTGAGAAAATGTAGAGCTAAGAAACCAGTTTTTCCTGCCTCCTAATCTTAGATGGATGACATATCTTTTCCATTTGGCAATCTCAAACCATTTTTTTACAAGTGAGTTTTTGCCACACATTGAGATGCCATATATTGTAGAATTATTTTAATCCTGGACCAGGGTTTCAACCTCACCTTTACCATTTAGTTCCTGAATAGAAACACACACAACTTTTATATTTACAATAAGCCTCACATAGTACAAAGGCTGGGTAGACACCTAGCATTGATGCTATCAGAATCCAATTTCCTACTGATAACCTTGAATATTTAATATTAACTATATTTCATCTGGCTGTACTAAACTTCAATTGGCCAGCTCACAGAGTCACTTTTTTTTTTTTTTTAATGGCTCCCCTAACCCACAGCAGCTGCTTCTTTTCCCACCTGCACATTCTTCTTCTGGTTCTCCTCTGATCCAAGCCCAGGAAACCTAAACAGTACCTTTGTCCCTTCTACCTAGCTATTAGTGTGTTGGCTCTTTATTGACCCATCAGAATCGATGGGTCGGCAGGATCCCAGGGGCTAGGTGCACACTCCAGGTCTTGGGGGCCTGCACTTAGCATTACAATAGATAAAAGACAAAACCTCAACACATACTAGTTAAATCACATACATTTTCTAAGTTAATGAGACAGTAAATAGCTAGAGACAAGCAACATATGCCTATGCAAATATTCTGAGAATGTTAGATGGTCTTCAGAAACATCAGAAATCTGTAGAATATGGCATCGAAGGATGTTTTACTAATTTTTGACAATCAGAAATGCCAGCTCTTGGCAAACCCACAAAGTCCTTTGAAGATGATGATGAACATTGAAGAACCTCCTTATGGAGTTTACTGCAAATGTGACAAGCTGCCAGTGGACAAGAAACTGCCCTTGTCTTAACTTGTGATCATATGTTGTCCAAGCTTTGGACAAGCAGAACACAAAGAACTGCTAATCTCTGCCAGGAAAAGGGAGAGAATTCCTCCATATTTGCTGCTTTATAGAATAAACTGTCAGATGTTCTGGGCCAATAGGTTGAAGAGATAAATGCTCCAGTGTTGCAGGGGAATCTGTGTGACCGTCAGGCAGCCAGAAGTCACTAACCTTTCTATAGTTTTGAACACTGCTTGCTGTACACCTGTGTTGTTCATGTAGATATGTGTGTAGGTATGTAAGTAAAGAGAAGAGGAGACACATTTTGGAGATGGGGGCAAAAAGGAGGGTAATAATAGGAAAAGGGAAAAAGTACATGATTCATATGTATTAAATGTCACATTGAAACTTGTATTTGGCAAGAAGATTTAGTAAGTGTTCTCATAGCAGTGATAAAATATGCACACTAGTGCAAGTTGAGGGTTTAATTTGGACCATAGTTCAATTGTATTGTCTACCATTGTCTAAGTTATGGTTTTACTGTTGTGAACAGATACCATGACCAAGATACATGACCAAGGACAACATATATTTGGGGCTTGCTTACAGGTTCAGAGGGTCAGTCCATTATCATCAATGTGGGAGCATCTAGGCTGGCATGGTACTGGCAGAGGTGAGAGTTCTACATCTTCATCTGAAGGTTGCTAGTGGAAGACTGACTTCCAGGTAGCTAGGATGAAGATCTTAAGCTCACACTCACAATGACACACCTACTTCAACAAGGCCACACCCAATAGTGCCACTCCATGGGCTGAGCATATACAAACCATCACACTCCACTCCCTGTCCCACATAGGCTTATCCAAACTCATGAATTTATGGGGATCATAGCTAAACATAGCACAATGCAAAATACATTTAGTCTAATTTCCAAAGTTCCTAACCTCTATAGCAGTCTCAACAATGTTAATAGTCCAACGTTCAAAGCCTTTTCTGAGATTCATCAAATCACTGAACTGTAATTCCCACAGTAAGGCTGGAAACCAAGGAAGTAGCTGAGAATTATCCATAGTCAGTAAAAGAGGGGGACACTGGGTCTGAACTTTTGAAACCTCAAATATGAACACTAGTGACACACTTACACCAATAATGCCACCAATAATGTTTCTTAATCCTTTTCCAGCAGTGCTACTACCTGATGACTAAGCATTCAAATCTATGAGCCCTTAAGGCTATTCTTATTCCTACCACAAAGCATGGTGAGTTGAAACAACAGGAACTTTAAGCAGCTAGTCATGATCCTTCCACTGCAGGAAGCAGGAGACTGATGAATAGCTGTTCTCAGGGCATTATCTTATACTGGAGCATCTCAAATAGATGCTTCCAATCACAATTAACAGATCTTCTGAAATCAATTAAACTAATGAAGATAAATCTTACAAATCAACAAGAGGCTTGTACCTCAAATGATTCTAGAACTCATGGTGCTAACAGTTGGGATGCAAGCATTACTTCTTGATTCTTGTCCATGTAAAACAGTCATTTCAAAAGTGTAATTTACATTTTTGTTTGTTTGTTTCCGTTTTTTTGAGACAGAGTTTCTCTGTGTAGCTCTGGCTGTCCTGGAACTCACTCTGTAGACCAGGCTGGCCTCGAACTCAGAAATCTGCTTGCCTCTGTCTCCCAAGTGCTGGGATTAAAGGTTTGTGCCACCAATGCCCGGCGATAATTTACATTCACTTATTTCTGGGCACAAATATTTATGTTTGTGTGGAGGCCCATGCATGGAGGTCAGAGGACACCATTCAGAGATAATTACCTCATTCTATTTTGTGGGTACTGGGATTACTAACATGAGTGTGGGTCTTGTTGACAATTCAGTTTGTTCCCAAACATGCTAGCTCTATCCAAAAAGCTTTTAATCATAACACTCCTTCCCTTTCCCCAACCTTACCCTCACTTCATAAGTAAATAGGCTACAACTTGAAAGATCCACAAAGTATTTAATAATTACAACAGTATGAAAGACCACGTCCATGTGTCACGTGAGACTCATGGCAGTCTCTTAACTGTGAGCTCCTACAGCATATAAACAAGTAACGACTTTTCTACATCCTGGTATACAACAAGGCTTTCAATTCTAAAAGAGAAGATACAAAGGAAAACAAGGAAGGATCATCTCCAAATCCAGAAGGACAACCACACAGTCTGACAGCTCCACTTTTGACATGGTGGTATGAATGATTCCAAAGCCATTACCAAATTCCCCAAACTTATAGGGCTTCAATTTAGCATGAAGCTGTTTATAACTTTTAGGGTCTGAAGAAGTGTTAAGATGTTATGAACATTTTAACATTTAAACTATTGCTCTCCAGCCTAAACTACTGTGTTAAGAAATATAAGAAAGCTTAACAAAGGGTTTGCAATATTTTTCACACATGTGACATTTCAGTCTACTATGAATTATGAGGTTTTTCCCAAGTTTTCAGTGAGTCCAAAAGACCTTAGCACATTCTTTACACTTGTCTGCTTTCTCTCAGAGATGAATTCTTTGATGTTGCTTAAGACCAGAAGACTGGTAAGAATAGTGTTTGCCACATTCTTAAGATGTGGAGTTTTTATCTCCAATAGGAATTATTCTGTGTTCAGACCATGCAATAGAACTTCAAAAGTATTTGCAACATTTTTTGCATTTCTATGGTTTCTTTCCAGGATGAATTCTTCGATGATGCCTAAATTTGTTGAGCATTTTGACATGTTCTTTTCTTTCTTTCTTTCTTTTTTTTTTTTTTTTTTTCCGGGACAGGGCTTCTCTGTGTAGTCCTGGCTGTCCTAGAACTCACTCTGTAGACCAGACTGGCCTTGAACTCATAAATCCGCCTCCCTCTGCCTCCCAAGTGCTAGGATTAAAGGCGTGCGCTACCACTGCCCGGATGACATGTTCTTTTCATTTGTAAATAGTCTCTACATTGTGAGTTAATTTGTGTAGATATAGGTATGACTTTGTAAAGGAGGCTTTTCCACATTCCTCAGGTTTGTATGGCTTCTCTCTAGAATGAGTTATCAAATGAGGAAAAGAATCTGGAAAGTTCTAAAGAACTTGACTGATACATCACAAGTTAAGGGTTTCTCACCTGTATGGATTCTCTTCTTTTCAGAAAGTAATTATGGACAATGGAAGGGTTTCTCTTGGGTATGAATTCTGTTATGTTTGTAAAGACTTTGTGGATAATTGAAGATTTTGCCAATTACTTCACACTTAAGGATTCTCTTTTGTATGAATTATCTTGTGTTTAGAAAGTAATGGTGAATAATGGAAGGTGGTGCCACAAACTTCACAACTGTATAGTTTCTCTCTTGTATGAATTTTCTATGGTGGAGAGTATTGATGGATAACAGAAGGCCTTCCCACATACTTCACACTAGTAGGGTTTGTCTTCTCTATGAGTTTTCCTATGGACACGAAGTGATGATGCATAGCGGAAGGCCTTTACACATATGGTATCCCTCCTGTATGGATATTCTTATGTTTTGAAAGTCTGGATGGATATTCAAAGGTTTTGCCACATACTTCACACTTGTAGGGTTTCACTCCTGAATGCATCATCTTGTGTTCATGAAGTGATGATTGAGAACGGAGAAAACGTCCACATATTTTACACTTGTAGGGTTTTTGGTCTGTATGAGTTATCTTGTGTTTTGAAACTAATGATGGAAAGCGGAAGGCCTTGCCACATATATCACACTTATAGGGTAACTCTCCTGTATGCCTTCTTTCATGTTGACAAAGTAATGATGGAGAGCGGAAGGCCTTCCCACATTCTTTACATTTGTATGGTTTCTCTCCTGTATGAATAGTCTTATGGTCCGAAAGTCTTGATGGATATTTGAAGGCCTTGCCACATACTTCACACTCACAGGGATTAACTTCTCTATGAATTTTCTTGTGTTTAGAAAGTATGGATGGATAATTGAAGGCCTTGCCACATACTTCACACTTGTATGGTGTCTCTCCTGTATGAATTCTCTTATGGTCAGAAAGTCTTGATGGATATTCGAAGGCTTGGCCACATACTTCACACTTGAAGGGTTTTTGGTCTGTATGACTTATCTTGTGTTTTGATAGTAATGATGGAAAGCAGAAAGACTTGCCACATACATTACACTTGTAGGGTAACTCTCCTACATGCATTCGCTCATGCTGACAAAGTAATGATGGAGAGTGGAAGGCCTTCGCACATTCCTTACACTTGTATGGTTTTTCTTCTGTATGAATATTCATATGGTTCGAAAGTCTTGATGGATATTTGAAGGCTTTGCCACATACTTGACACTCATAGGGATTATCTTCTCTATGCATTCTCTTGTGTTTAGAAAGTAATGATGGATAATTGTAGGCCTTGCCACATACTTCACACTTGTATGGTGTGTCTCCTGTATGAATCTTCTTATGGTCAGAAAGTCTTGATGGATATTCAAAGGCCTTGCCACACATTTCACACTTGTAGGGTTTTTTGTCTGTATGAGTTATCTTGTGTTTTGAAAGTAAAAATGGAAAGCGGAAGGCCTTGCCACATACATCACACTTGTAGGGTAACACTCCTGTATGAATTCTCATGTGTTGACAAAGTAATGGTGGAGAGTGGAAGGCCTTCGCACATTCCTTACACTTGTATGGTTTCTCTCCTGTATGAATATTCATATGGTAAGAAAGTCTTGATGGATATTTAAAGGCTTTGCCACATACTTCACACTCATAGGGATTATCTTCTGTATGAATTATCTTGTGCTTAGAAAGTAAGGATGGATAATGGAAGGCCTTGCCACATACTTCACACTTGTATGGTATGTCTCCTGTATGAATTCTCTTATGGTCGGAAAGTTTTGATGGATATTCGAAGGTCTTGCCACATACTTCACACTTGTATGGTGTGTCTCCTGTATGAATTTTCTTATGGTCAGAAAATCTTGATGGATACTCGAATGCTTTGCCACATATTTCACAACTGTAGGCATTATCTTCTGTATGAATTATTTTGTGTTTAGAAAGTAGGGATGGATAGTAGAAGGCCTTATCACATACATCACACTTGTAGGGCTTCACTCCTAAATAAATTATCCGATGATTTTGAAAGGCTTCTTTCCCATCCAAGACGTTGCCAAATTCTTTGCAAGTATAGCATTTTCCCCCTGGTGAGCAACAGTTGAGAAATGAATGAAAACAGAGCAAAAATCTATATGATTATACTGATAGCTTTTAAAAAACCAATATTTACTCATACTTGAATTTCTCTGTATTAATCAGAAGCTACATCGAATTTTCTATATCTGTCCTTAGTGAAGTATTATTTAAAAAACAGAACAAGTGAAAATCATGTAGACCTCCTTGAAGTAAGGGGACTACGGCAACACAGAAGAAGGATGGAATAGAATATTAAAGAAAATCAAACATGTATGAAAGCATAATATCCACTAAGAAACTCATAATGACATTATGCAAATGCAAATCAGCTCCTTAAAGAGATACTGAAATGACATGAGTACTTAAAAACAAAGTATAAATTATTCTAATTTGGAAAACACCTGAATAAACAATATTTACATATTATATATTACATGTATATATCATATCCATAGTCTAAGTATAGAATTTTGTTTTACAAGCTTTAAAGGAGACTGAGGATGACTTTCTTTAATAACATTAAATAAAGATTCAAGAAAAAAGTTTTACGTATATCTTTAGGCATAATGGTTTCGTGCATTTTGTGAAGATTGACCATGTATTAGTCAAATGCTTGATTTTTCTGTCCCCGTATGTTTGCACCTTCCAGAAATGGCATTGTAGTACTGATTTGTAGAATCTTCCATCTTAAGTTTGTGTAAACATTGTTCCTCATTTATGCTCTAACTTGTCAACATAAGCTGATCAGCCAATGGCTGTGGGCAGAAGAGAGAATATGCTGGACTTCTACCCCAGGGAAGAACAGAGAGGGGGTGTATACTATAAGAAAGGGTTCTAGACAGACATCCTGAAGTCCCCTGAAGCTCAGAGAACCAGACCAGTACTAAAATGCAAGTATTATGGGGACTTTTTCTTGGAGCTAGCAAGATTATCTTAGAGGATTAGACTCATGCTGGGAGCCAAGACTTCCTTCTGCCAGATAGCAAATGGCAATTAAGTAGTTAGCCTGAGTTAAGGAATGCCTCATTGCCTTCTTCCTGAGAACAAATGTCAGTTAAGTAGATAGCCTGAGTTAAGGAAGACCTTATCTGCCTTCCTGCCTGGGAGAGAAAATTAGCAACTTGAGCCTAACGAATGTTTTATTGCCCTCTTGCTCATGAGAAAGTGGTTTGGGCTAAGGAATGCTTGCTAAGAACTTAACAATTACTGGATAGCTCTGGACCCTGACCCTCCTCTCTGCTTGCCTTTATAATGGCAGCCTGAACAATAAAGTTTAAGCACTCGATCAGACATTCAGACCTGTGCTTCTTCTTTGTGTCTCTTGTCCCATCTTTCACCCCCCTTCCCTAGGGTCTCGTCGAATCCCCTTGGACAGAGGCACTTGGCGCCCGACATGTGGTCTTTTGGGTCAGGGTCCAATTGAATGTTGCTTCTACAGTGACGTCCTGCAAGTATAGTATCGATGCTGCTCCCAGGGAGGTGAAAGAAGGTCCAGGTTGAGATCACCGCAGAGTTACCTGCCTGTGAGACTGATCCGGTGTTGGTAAGAAGCAATGAAATTATGGAATAAGTGTTGAACAAACATGATTTGTTCTTAAGGGTCTCAAAGAGTCCCTCACGGCACAAGGACTAAGGGTTAAGAAAAAGAATCTTAAAAGATTCTTTGAATTCATTGGTGAGGTTTGTCCATAGTTTCCTCAAGAAGGAACTATTGATGACAAAATGCTACACCTCCTAAGGAGGAGATGAAAAGTTAGACCTTGAAAATGAGAGAGAGAATGGGCTAAAACAGTTGTCTGCTCTCAGGTGTGTTAACAAAAGAAAAGGAAAAGCCTATTTCAGAGCCCTCTTGGGAGCAGGAGAGAATCAGGAGAAGTTCTGGCTCCTACCGGACAGATTCTTAGTTATGCTTTCTCTGTCTATTGTCTGTCCTTGTCGCCCCAAATTTGTCCACGGGTGTCAATTGTCTGTCTTTGTTTTGTTGTTTGAATGATTGCTGTTCTATGTTTCATGTTCAAAAGAAAAAAAATGATTAAAATGGATGGCTATCCACCCTTGGTTGAGCTTAAATTTTGCTTAAAAGGCAATCTCAATTTACACAACAGAAGCTGATAGATAAGTTACTCTGCTCTGTGGCTGGAAGTAAGGCACAGCAGGAGGAACCCTGGCAGGAGTGATTAATTTGCATAAGCTGCTCTTGGAGGGGTCAACAGATTTTTGGCTTCCATGGTAAAGAAAAGAACGGATGGCTGTTTTTCCTAGAAAAATTTCTGTGATAGTGTTTATTGGTTTATTGGGTCCAACAAATGACAAGGTGCTTTTCTCTTGAAATTACAGCTAGAAAAAGTAAGAAAAGATTGTTTGGATAAAATATATAATATGTGCATCTACTTCATTTTTGTTTCTGACTGCTTTTAAAGTATAAAAATGTTCTACATATCTTGGTTATACATTATTAGCCTATGAGTTATTGGGTATGATTAAAAATTTACAACTCTTAGTAACAAAAAGCTGGATTAAAACTGATAACTCAGGGTTGGAGTCATTCAGAAACCAGATGTATAAAGGGTAAGATTTAAAATGTTTTTTTAACAAGATATTAAAAGCTGCACTATCATACATAAGAACTGGCAGCCAAACTTTGTAAAACAAAACTAATATACTTGGTGTTAATTTTAGAAAAAACAGATTGTTTACATTGTTAAAAATTAGTTTTGTTTCCTAAAGTTATGGTTATACTCTAATATTGCAAAAGAAACTTAAAAATATAGTTAAACTGCCAGTATTCCATTGGCTACAGTTGGCAGGTCAATCGTGAGCTTGAGAATTTTTGACTCACCCATGATTACAGTTGAGAAGAGGATTGAGCAGGTGGAGATGATTGCAAGAGTAGTAAGAGCATTATAGCCTGACTTGCCTACTCCAGCTACCATTCCAGGAAATGCATATAAAATTAATATAGTTTATTTAATTATTATTAATATATTATTTAATAATATATTAATTAACAATATACTCATTAATTATAATTAATAATATAATTAATATATTATTATTATAGAAGATTGTTTTTATATTATTCCTTTACATCTTGATGATTGTAAGAGGTTTACATTTAGCATATTTGCTTGTAATTTTTGAGAGCCCATGAAGTGACATCATTGGAAAGTTTATTAGTAAGTGTGAAAAGTTTCCTATGAAAGCTATCTAAGGGGAAAAGTGGAAGAGTCCTAGGTGGAGAAAAGGAAAACTTCTTTCTATATGCTACTCTAAGTGGGGATAGGCGAAAAATTCTATTTCTATCTCTCCATTGTATCTGCCTCTCATCTCTTTGTCCTCAGTGCTTATACATCTTTCAGAATACATGATCACATGTTGCAGGGTTCATCACAAGTTCACACCAAGTGTCAAATCATAAAGAAGCTTGGAACAGAGAATGTTTACATACATATACATTAAGAGTAATTATCTGCCTAAACATCCGTCACCTGTCTAGCTCCACATGTTCACTGACGGTTTGAAGCTATAACTAAGTTATTAGTGAAGCTTGGTATAGATAGGCCCAGGCAATATTTTATCTTCTGTCCTGGCACTTATAGTTGTTGTAATTATTTAAATACGGCCGCCGGTCAAGCTGACTTATCTATGCTGCAGCAGCTCTACCTAGCTCAGCTGCCATGTTCTGTGGCCAGAGGCTACGTGCACACTGCAGCTAGAAACAACAACCCTGCCACCCATGAGATGCCAGCATGGGAAATGGCTCTGTCAATCTTCCATGCTGTCTCCACAAGGCTGGGCATTTCCCAGACCATCCCGCCATCCATGCGGTTCTAGTAAGAATGAGACTCTCATGCTTAAAGATTAATCAAAGGCTTTATATGTTTAATAATGCTCAATAACAATATGCCTATACAAAGAGAGTTGTTTCCCAATTATCTAACCTAATTATAAGTTGTTACCCAGGACTGCTCTCCATACCTGCCTGGCTCTCCATACTCCTACATCTCTGCCCTCCCTAGCTCCTCCTCTTCTTTTTCCTTTTCTTCTTCTTACTCCTCCTCTTCCTCTCCTGACTCCTCCCACCTTAGCTCCTCCTACACATAGTAAATTCTTGGTTTCCTTTTAATGACTTTTGGCTAATTGTTTTATGACCTCTTAGAATGTGCTCTGAGCAGGAAAAATTCTGGTTACTATCTAAGAGCAATTAACTGATGACACTTGGGAGACTGGCAGAGTTCTCATTGCAGTTTTGACTATCAGAGAAGGGCCTAATAGCAATCCAGTTATAAAAGAGCTTAATAATCATTGATGTAATTTTAGGAATTCTTATAGGATCATCATTAAGACTTAGGAAGTCATCTATTTGCCTATATAGCATCACCACAAGATAGTATATCTTCGTGGACCTGCAGAGATCTGCTCCAAAGGGGTGTGCTATTGCTTAGAGGTTGTTACATATGTTTATTAATAACAGATTGAGACAATAATTTGGTATTTCTAGAGAGTGTACAAGTCAAATTGCAAAAACTTGTTCTCAGTCTCCTCAATTTTTTCATAATGGTGTTAATACTTGAGGACTTATACCTAATCAGTTATGACAAGTAGATGTTACTCATTTATGTTAGATCTTAGCATTTTCCACTCTATTCTCTGACACCCTCCTTCTGACACACCTGAGCACTTAGTGACGGCCGCTCTGCTCTTCACATCTGAAGGCTCTTGTATTTGCTCCAGAAATGTGACCAGAGGTGGCCTAGAGGAAGCAAGACCTGTTTGTGGAAAAATGTAAAAACATTGTTACTGTGGTCACATGGTAAATAAAATGTCCCTCCAGGGTTGAGTGTATAAAGAATGAGAAGACACAATAAAGGAGTATAGAGGGCCAGTCTTCAGGTGTTTTCTGATGGCCACATGAGAATGCTGAGGAGGAACTTGGAAACTGCAGGGCCTGAGCCTCACACCCCTTGGTTACCAGGAGAACTTTTACAACTGAAGTGTGTGTTGTTCTCTTTAGGGTACCACTTATATTCTACAGCAAACAATACATTTAGGGGGCAGTATGAACCCAAGAAGAGACAGTGCAAAGCTATAGGAATAATTTAAATTTTCCTTAAAAGTAGCCCTATGGACTTCATTGATGGATGTAGAAATTCCCGTGAGATACTGTACTAAGGAAGCCACTTTCATGCTTACAATTAACTAAAATTTCATCATGGAAGGTATCCTCACCCAGGAACACAAGGTTGTTGTAATTCTCCAACATCACATCCCTATACAGTTTCCACTGAGCGGGACTCAGGCATTCCCACTCCTCTGCAGAGAAATCAATGACCACATCCCAGAATGACAACATTTCCTGAAAAAAAAAAATTAGATAAAAAATAAAATTAAAAGAGTAAATATCTAATATCATTGTGTGGGGTTGGGGTGATTCTTCCATTTATTCAAAGGCTAAATTCTGTACCTCAATGTCTGGCTGCTCCAAGACAAGTAAATTCCCATGAGTTCACAAGCAATTTTTGTGTAAAACTGGTTCCCCACTTTAAAATATTGGTCAAATTAAACTAGTAACTTCCAATTATGTGGGAGGATAGAGGTAGGCAGAGCTTCGAAGACGGGACTGGGGGTTGCAAGTAAGGTCCACAACATGGAGAAAGAGAAATTGGGAGAGAAAGAAAAGATGTGAGGACAGGTCCCCAGTAGTCATGGTGGGTCAGCAGCAATGTCCAAGTCAAATAAACCACCCAGAGAGACTGATGGACTAGAAATAATTCAGGAAAGACTCAAACAGCAAGAATTTGGAAAGCATGTGTGGGGAAGTGACCAGTCTAGCTTTAGAGAAATTGATTTGGAGAAATCCTTAAGTAATTGAGCAAAAACAAATAAACGAATGACAGTCTGAGTCTCATTCATTTGGAAACTATCCTGTGATAGACATAACCACAATTAACTTCATATTATGCTAACTATAACCATCAGTAATAACAAATACAAAGAGGCACCATGTGCTTTTGCATATAAATCTAAAGGTGACCCTAAGTGAGAGGAGAGCAGGAAGCATATATAGGTAAGGAAGAATCTTAAACTACTCCTGATGTGGTACAGTTTGCAACACAGGACTCATCTCTAAGTGAAGTGGATCACAGAAGATCCTAGAAACTCCTATGGTATAATGCTTTAAAGTGCCATAAAATGGAGAACGAGGGCAACTAATTACAGTGTGTTGAGGCTAGACAGATGGCTCAGTAATTAAGAGCAACGGTAATTCTTCCACAGGACATGGGGTTGATTCCTAGATGCCTCATGGCCACCCACAACTGTGCATAACTCCAGTTAGAGAAGATCAGACAATCTCTTAGACATGGATTGTAACAAAATACAAACACACATATGTCTTAGTTACAGCTTCTATTCTTGCCATGAAACTCCAGTGACCAAAAATCAGCTTGCCGAGGGTTTACTGGGCTTACACTTCTACAGCACAGCTGTAGAGGGCGGTATGTCAACAGAATGACCAGCAGGTTCCTGTCATTGCTGCCAGCCAAGCTCCCAGGTTGTAGCCTACACTGGCTGGAGCCCCAGGGCTCCAAAATCTCACCACCCAGCTCTCTTAAGTTCCCACTGGCAGGTCACTACCATGCCATTTCTGTGATTCAAATGCCTATGGCCTTTGAGGGGCACATCACAGAAACCCAGGCTTTGCATTTCAGTCTTGAACTCTGTTGAGTTGCTGCTAGAAGAAACACACCACACAGAGTTTAGGAACAATGGTAACTCAATCTCTGGGCCCAGCACATAAAACCTAATCTTGTAAACCTTATTAAATCTAATCCTCCTGTAGAAGATCTTTGCGAATCCACCATGATACCAGGAAACTCTACCTCTACATCTAGTCCATATGCTCATCCCCCCCACACCCAGTCGCACCCTCCCCCATCCCATCCAAAAAGGACCCTCTCCTCCAACTCTCTTCTCTTTTCCAGCCTGGAAGTCCCTCCTACTTGCCCTGTGATTGGCTCATTTATTCACTAGGAGACTGGTTCACAAGAAGTCATCAGAGTAAATGACTTACTCATTGTCTGCAGCCCCTCCCAGTAGAGCAGAAATTAACATCAAAATGCAGGCAGCACAGAACCTTACATAACACATCCACAGCACAGTTCATTATTGAAGGAGTTCAGGACAGAGATTTAAACAGGATGGGGACCTCGAGGCAGGAGACAATGATTTAGAGGTAACGGGGGAGGTGGGGAGGTGGGGAGGTGGGGGGGTGGTTTCAGTCTATTATAATACAGCACACATTATGGAAATTCTTCACAGTACAGAGGCAAGTATGCACGATCACAAATGACAAATACAGTGAAGACCCACATATATTGTACTGTGCATTTCCCAAGGGCTGAGTTTCTGAGCAAGTCCAGAGAGATGCAAAAGACACTGCACCAAGGCTCAGGAGTTTGAGCACCCAATGGGTAGAACAATAAACAAATTCTCAGACAAATGGAATCAAATTATACTAACCACATTATAATTAGAAAATTTACTAGTAAGCTCTGTAGGGCGAGGTTTGAATCGTCATTCCAAAATGGCACCTGGGCTAACACCTGACTTCCTCATACACCCCTGAAGAAGCCACGCCCACAGGCAATATTGTGTAAGCTCACTGCTATGCATAATCAGGCCATCTGCTATGTAGGGCAACGTGGGAATCTACTGGCTATCCTATTGTATGCACCGACATGGCAGGCTCTGATTGGAGAAGGCAGAGGGATTTAAGGGCGGTGGAGGAGAGGCTCAAGGGCTTTTTGCTGAACGTAAAGGTTCCTGAATAAACTGCGATGAGAGGAAGAACTCCGTGTTGGTCGTCTTCTGTCTGCTGGTCAGATCGGGGAGCGACAAGCTCAGTCACTGTGGGGGCTTATACTAAACCAACACTGTCTCAGAGGCCCCATGAAAGGACAATGGGAACTGGATGTCTTCATCCAGTAGGGGACTTGGCCAGGCATCTCTGACAGAGGATACAGTGCCATGAAGAAGTCATTGTTGCAGCTATAGGGGATTCCACACTTCTTCTGGGACTGGAGTTATCTTCCCTAAGGCAGCAGTTTCTGAAGTATCCTGTGCTCTTATTGCCTACACTGAATGATTTAGGTCTCTGGTGAACTTGGTCATTTTTTTCATCTACCAATACAATACTGCATGCTGTACTGTATAACTTGCTTGCCTCTGTGTCAACTGCTCATACAAGACAGCTATTGCTATTGTTTCCAGCTATTACTTTTGTCTTCCTTAAGCTTTTTTCTTTATTTTCCTGCCCTGATCCACCCATTCCACACTTTGCCCTTAGAGATCTTCAGTCCCTTGGAATCGGGGCAGCATCAGTACACTAAGATTCCTTCACCTGATCTAAATGAAGAAGAATAACTATTGATCAATATTCCTCCAGGTTTCCTTTTCATCAGATTACTGGCCAATAAGATAAAAATTGCATCTCTCACTTGATTTGCAATCCTTTAGATTCAACATCTGACTGAATCGGTTAGATTTCTGAGGCAGCATGAAGGTCCAGAAGACAGAAGAGACAGGAGTCTGACTCTTGACAGACAGTTGTGTATTTATTGTCTCACACACTGAAAGACAGACTCACTCTCATGGGGAAATAAGGAGGATAATAGCAGTGAGGAAACAAGGCTGCAACCATTTATAGGGGCGGAATGAGGGGCTTGGGAATGAGACACAAAGTCCATCTTTCTTGCTTGTAGATGCTCCTTGATCAAACTGTTTTCTAATGTAGACAGAGGTTAACCTTTCAGACATCAGTCTCTTGAAAGAGGGAATAAGTTGGGACAGTCACCTGTGATCTTAGAACAGTCTAACTTTACTACCAAGCCGAGTTCCAGTGATTTCAGCCAGAAATGTTCTTGATATAGGTCAGTCAGTCTTATAGCACAAGAAGCTTGGTCACACAATATGTTGCACTTGTCTTTTTATGTCTGAAATAATAATGTCCTGTCCCATCTGATAGAGTCTTGCTGGTAAAAACAAGATTACTATGTGAATACAGCTGACCTTCCTCAACCTCATTTGTCTGCTACAAGCCAGAGAACGATGTTTTTGGGGACCTTGTCCCTTAAGATACTCTGTCTTGTTTAAGCAGACAACACCAGGAAGGAGAGACTGCAGAACTACATGGGGCTCCTAGAGCAGCATCCACTTCCTTATTCCCAAGCCTCTCAACTGTTTCTTTAACAGGTGCACACCAGGTTTCTCTCCTCACACCCCCCCCTATTACATACATCAAGAAGAACTGGTGTGCCTCTCTGTGTACTACTAAACAGTCTCATTTGTGGTTCCCAGACTCCTTCCTGCCTTTCTTCTCTTTGGACTATGCTCACAAACCTAACATCATCCATGTTGTCAAAATGAACATATTGCATCCTTTAAAGCCACAGAATAGTATCTCAAATTAATGATAATGTGCCACAATTCCCTGATTATTTTACTTTTATAATTTAATTAAAGTTCATTCAAATTAAAGAAGTTCATATCCAACCACATTAAGGTGACCCCAAAATCACGGAAAAGGGGACTATAAAGAAAAATAATGCATTTGGGTTAAAAGAACATAGAGTTCTTTTAGAACTGGAAAGAATAAAGGAAGCTGCTATGAAGTCCGACACACAAAACAAACAAAACAACATTTAAGTTTGCTCCAGGTAGGGTGACTGCTCTGTCATGCCTGCATTTCCTCCTGAAAACTACATGATCAGATTGCATATCAAAATAAGCAATAGAAAAGATCATGCTGGCTTGTACCCACCATCACACAAGATAGAGACATTTGCCATTACACGTTGTTTAGATGAGCACTAGGACACAGACTTTAGAAGCTTCATCAAAGACTACAACACATTTCAAAAAGGCATGAAGAAGCATCTCAGTGCCATTGAAGTGCACAATGAACTTAAGGAGAACAAATGCTTCTGTGATGTTCCAGAAACCAAAAACTTTAGAATGATGGAAATGACAACACAATCCAGGATTTGGAACTGGAATTCAATAAAGAGAAACCCTGAACAGGACTCTAACAGCATTGATCCAAAATGTAGCCCAATAATCCTAACAGAAAATGTAAAAGAAAAAAATGACACTAGAATAAATCAGGTAAAGATAGCACCTACGGACTTATGAATGAAGTAGATCATCTAGATAAAACAAGCTAAGTCTATGATATAAATGAAGAAAAAATATCTATGGGAAGGAAACATACAAGATGTGTTAGGCCGGGCGGTGGTGGCGCATGCCTTTAATCCCAGCACTTGGAAGGCAGAGACAGGCAGATCTGTGAGTTCGAGG